ATATATATATATATATATATATATATATATATATATATATATATATATTTTTTTTTTTTTGCGGAGAGGACGCTATTCAGCCCACTATGAGGGTGACGCTGAGGGGCTTAGGGATGAGTGTCCCTCCCCTACTCCCTGCTCCGTCCCCCAGACGCTCCATCCTTTTCATTCACTCCCTTCGCTTGTCCACCCCGCCACCCACCCTTCTGTCTTCTCCTTTGTTTCAGGGGTGGCAGCAGCTGGAGGCCTCTGAAACAAAAGGGAAGGGAGCCTGGGAGAGCGCAGATGGACAAACAGACAGATGGATGGAAGGAAAGAAGGGTGCCCTGAAGAGAAGAACTTCAGGGGAGGGAGAAGAGGGGGTCATCATCCCCCACCTCCTTAAACCCCCTGCTCCACCCCCCCACCCCGATCCCAGGCAGGGCCACGAGGAGCCAGTCCCAGAGACCAAGTTTGGCGCCTTTCCTCCAGAGCAAGAGGAAGGCCAGCCAAGGGCAGCCGTGGGATTTAAGCTAGGCAGCAGGAGGACTTCCCACTGGAAGGCTGAGGGAAAGCCCGTGGAGGACTCTCTTTGAGAGGACGCCTGTGAAGCCTTCAGCATCGTGCCTGGCACAGTCAGCAACCCCACGGGACACAGTTTTTTTTCCAGAAGAGGGTCTCCTTAGGCCTGGTCATGTTCGCCCCCTCAAAGAGTTGGGCACCACTAGTGGACAGCAACAAATGCTTTAATTGACATTAAAAAAAAAAGTACGTTAGCACATCAAACCTGTGAATGCATGATATTATTGCTTTGGAGAAGGCTAAAGGGCGTATCGAGGTTTGAGAAGTGGGTGGATTATTATGGCCATGTTATTGGGGTTGCTGGAAGGAGGAATTAGCCAGGGGTTCTGAGTTGTCTTTCCTGGGTCCCAGCTAGTCTACAGATGTCTTCGTTTGGGGGTGATTTTAAAAATTAGAATTAGATGTTGGCATTTAAACATCAGGTAGCTGTCCATAGAAAAATCTGGCTTCTCTTAAAAACTGGGGCGATAGGGCTATAATGGTCCCGTGAGGGTAATCTAAGCAGCAGCTGCCACCGGAGGGCAGGTGACGCCCTCCATTTCACACGTTTACACCATCTCCCTGGCTACACAGGCCTTAGAGTTTGAGACCCCTCTCAAACTGGGAGCAGTGGGGAGGGCAACAAAGTAGACGGAATAAAGTAAGCATACACCTGGAGAGAATGTGCAGGGAGGGTGGTGGGCACTTCAGCTAATATGGAGCCCAGTGTCCTTGATGCAGAAGGTAAAACTAGAGAAATTGGAGACTGATGTTAGGGGACTAGGCTGTAGGCAATGGGGAGCCATTGAAGGTGGTTGAGCAGAGGAGTGACTTAAAGATTACTCTGAGGCTAAGCAAGAATTGGAGGCAGAGAAAGCAATTGAAGCAAGGATTCTCAAACTTTAGGCCACATCCAGGGGCAGCTATGATGAATGTCCCACCCCCTAGCCTTCCAATTTGAAGAGTGTGGGAGCCTAGTAATCTGCATTTTCAAGAAGCACCCACCTTCCCAGATGATTCTGAAAATGGGGCAGTGGCAGGGACCACACTTTGAGAAATACTCAATTAATGAGAAGTTAGTTTAGTGCTTCAGGGACCAGGTGGGAGAAGATGTGGGTCTGGACCAGGGCAAGGCAGGGGGAGCAGGTATCATGACCCACGCCTGCCAGGGAGGATGAGGGCTCTCAGCAGAGGCCTAGGCTTTGCCAGCAATGCAGGGTCTGAGTGGGGACCTTGTCCTTGGGCTCCCTGTCTGCTGGTGTTAGAAATAGCAGCCCCCTTCCCATATGGGGCCGTTGACCAGCTGCTGGAGTCAGAACCCCATTCAGCTGCCCTGAGGGCCATCCTAGGCCTCACAGGATGCTGCACAGGAGGAGATGTGCCTGTGAGGGACTCCAAGGGTCAAGTTTAAGCTCCAGATGGAGCAGCAGTTTCCATGTGAGTTTGAGCACCCATAGTGCTTCGTGTCCCCATCTGTGACATGGGCACCTGGGTAAACCCTGGGAAAGCCTGGAGAGCTGTGAATCAGATGCTTGTGGAGAGGGGTTTGGAGCTCCACGGGCAGGACCTGCCTCAGGATCAGTACCCCATGCCTGCCTTTACTGGCTAGTGACCCCTGGCATCATCCTCTTCTTTGGCTGTAAAATGGGGACAGGCCTGGCACTAAGATGGGAGAAGGAGGTGCTTATAGAGTGCTGACTCACTAATTAGTACCTAAAAAGAAGGGTTACTGAAAAAGAAATTGAAGACATAAGCAAGGATGGCATCAACACTTCAGGGCATCAGACACTGGGCTCGTCCAGTACCCATTATGGAGCGGCTGCCAGTGCCGGGGAAGCACTCACTCCTGGGACATGTTTGTTACCTGGATATCACCAGGGAAACGAGTCAGGGGACCTGGCACTGCCTCCGGCATCCTGTGTGGCCTTGGGCAAGTCACTCAGCCTCTCTGGTCTATAAAATGGGAGAGTACTGTTCTTATCCTGCAGTTTTTGTGAAAATCAATGAGCTCACAGGCCAGGGGATATTCTGTCCCCTGGATGTCAGGCAGCGGCTTGCATCCCTAGGGGCTGCTTCGGGTGGGGATGCCGCACTGTTGCTGGGTGGCAACACAGAATGACACATACATATGATATACAAGTCCCACTGTCAGATTCAAGGCCATAGTTGGAGGATTCTAGCTGGTCAAACCCCAAGGCTGCTTGTAGGGCTGGGGAGCCTGGACCACAGTTCAGAATGCGGGTGTGAGGCTTCCCCGGAGGGCGCACAGATGTCTCCTCTGAGGGGCAGGATCACTTCGCTACCCGGATGCCAGGAGGCAGGAGTGGGGAGTGAGGTGACTCTTGGAAGGCAGATAGCCCTGTACCTGGCACTGGGGAGCACCCTGTAAGAGATGGTGTTAATCTGTGTCTCATTTTGCTCACCTGTAAAATGGGGAATAAAATATATAAGGGGGAAAATTAAAAGGAGGTAACAGTTATTTCCACTTCACAAGTTTGATGTGAGGACTAACTGGGTTAATCCACATAAATCACTTAGCACAGGGCCTGGCACACAGTAAGTGCTCAATAAATGCAGCTGGTGGTGCTTGCTGCTGTTATTATTATTGTTCTACACTATGAACAATAACTTCCAAAGTCAAAAGATAGGACTCGAGGCCAGCTTCCAATTAAAGCCGCTGTTCGTAATTCATGCCTGGCTTGAGGGCCACCGAGACCCCTGGAGCTTTTGGGGGAACACCTGCCCTCCAAACAATCTCCACCTTTCTCCCCTTTCTCCTGCCTAGGGGTAGGCTAGGCTCCCAGTGAGACCCCCCTGCACTCACTTCTGCCAAGCTTATAGCCCCACAGTGTTTTCACTGCCGGGGACCAGGGTACATGGAGAACTGTTGAAGGTGAGACCACCTCTATGGGAAAGTCGAGTTCCCTCGGAGGCTGGAGCACCTAGTCCAGGAGGAAGTCTTTCCAGACTTCCAGAAGCAGGTTCTGAGACTCTGGGCATGTAGTATGCCAACACCCGGGGGTAGCATCTAGAGAACAGGCAGTGGGCAAGCGCTGTCTGCACCCCTCGGGGCATTCCAGGCCACTGCACCGGGATGTAACAGGGTGGACCTCAAGCCTGGGCCTCTTGGCATCACCTGCAATGCTGTGGTTGGAAGCATTGTTCCTGCTTCTGCGCAAACCTCAAAGAAAGAGGCCCTGGAGGGAAACAAAGACTAACTAATGGAAGCTCTGTCTCAAGAGGGAAAAGAGCGGAGCACTAATGGAAGGAGACAGGGTGAATGATCGTGGTTAGTCCTGGTCTGGTTGTTAATGGTCCTACTAATAATGGTGCCATTTCTGCTGCTTGGCTGAGAGCAGGCACATGGCTGGTGATGGCCATGCCTGCTGTGGGGTCCCTGGGTCTCAGAGGCCCAGGCCCACTTTCCCCAACACCTGTGACTGTCCCCCACAGTCAGCATCCTCCCTGAAGGGCAGGAGGAGCCCGATCTCATCCTAGAGGAGGTTGACCCTCACTGGGAGGAGGACATGCATCAGGAGGGCAGCACCAGCCTGCAGGGCTCAGAGGCAGCTCCAGCTGCTGAAGAGGAGAACGAGGTGGTGGAGCAGATGCCCAGGTGGGAACCAGAGAAGGCCCTGAAAAAAGTGATTGTTTGGGAAGATTACAGGCACATGGTACAGAATCCCAAAGGTATCAGAGGGCATAGAGTGGGAACCACATCTGCCTCCTCCTACCTCTCCCTCCCACCAGACATCCATCCCTCTCCCCATGGGTGCAACAGCTTCCAGGCTCTTCTGTACCTTTCCAGGGCCCGTCTGAGCACATACAAGCATGGATTCCCTTCAGTTTTGCACAAAAGATAGCATATCACATGCACTTCCCTGTCTGCACCTCGCTACGTTCGTTCAACAATATACCTTGAGATTTTTCCACATTTAGTACATGGAAAGCATCCTCATTTTTTACAGCTGCATAGTATTCCATTGTATGGGTGGGGTGTGCCAGAATTCATTTAGCTTGTATGCTATTAATGGCCATTTAGGCTGATTCCAAAATTTTATTATTATAAATAATACTGCCACAAGCATGCTTGTCCACAAGTCCTTGCAAGTGCACATGTGCACATCTGAAGGGAATTGTAAGGTCATCGGGCACAGGAACATGTAATCATGGTACTGATGGCTGAGTCACCCTTCACAGGGACTGAACCCGCTTCATTCACTGATGATCTTGGTGATAGCTGCTCAAGCAGGAGGTCTCAGATCCTTAGGTCCATGACCTACATTGCAAAGATTGGGAAACTGAGGCCCAGGGAGGATCAGGGGCTGACCGAGGGATGGCATCAGAATACTTGGGGACCAGGACCGGCCCCTCATGCAGTGAGGGAGCTTTGTTACTAGAGAGAGGCTGGGGCTGCTCAGGTGGGGCTCCCCAGGTGGGATCTTGGTTGGGAAGTTCAGGTCTGGTTTGGGGGATCACAGGATATCCTACCGAGAGTGGGGGCAGGAGGTGGACCCGGGGTGCTGCTGCAGGTGACCTCACCTCCTGCCTCTGACTCAACTCAGGATGCTGCCTCGGATTCAAGAGGAGAAAGAAGAAGAGGAGGAGGAGGTTCGAGA